TTGAAGTTGTGATAATTTCACCAACTATCAACAAATTAAACGAAATCCAAACTTATGAAATATTTCGCTATCAAAGCAAGCATAAAGTACATCCGACGAATGCTATTCATGTGATCATCCATGATAACTTGTAAAATACCTTCAAAACGATGTCAATATACCACTCGGTTGATGTTCAATGAAAAGTGTGATTTCTGTTGCTGAGTTCAAGTGAATCTTTTTTTGGCTTTCAGGATGACGAGCGATCAACAACCCAGTCACAACGCAGTCGTGATCCACATTCATTTATTCCTTCACTAACGTGAGTTCAGTCACTTGCTCAACGCAGTCGTAGTCCATTGCATCCTACTTCTTAGAACATGATTACTGTTCATAGTTCTCATTCTCATAGCAACTTCACTTTAATTGATTTGATCATAACTTTGGACACAATAGACACTTCTTAACATTGAATGTCTTTTCTTAGAATACTTTTCCCAATCATCATAATCATATTTTGCTCTTGAGAGTGATCAAATGAACTGATCAATTGTTATTGCGAGCCCTCCTCTTATATTCTACCATAGTCATGGTCTATAGTTGCTTAAAAATTCCGAAATCCAAGAACTAAAAAAATTGCATGTTATTCAGTAGTGTAAGTGAAGAGGCACAAATGGAACAGCTGGATGATGCGGAACAACAGCATGATGAGTCACCACAAAAGATATCTGCACTGAAACTCAACTGGAAACAACGGTTACTCGTATGCATTGGATGGACTGATCTAAAAAGGTTCGTCCAGACGAAATGCGAATCATTATTATATCTTGTTATTCCCATCCACTAGCTCTGTCGTGTAGATACCGATGCAGTATTTGAGATGTATCTAGACATATCTTTGAGACGTTTAATTATCAATGAGGCGTGAATTAAGGATAAGGGAGCAACAGCAACAACGGCAAGAACAAGACAATAAAGCAAAAGAAGGAGTTGACCGCTCCTCGCCAGTCTCTGGCATGAAATCTACT